TCACATTTGTAAATAGTTTTGCTATAATGGCCCAATAGATTAACCAAACCCCTTGACACCTATGGTCCCGTTTGGGGACCTCAGAATTGCATTTCTGCTCTTTGCAGATGAGGAAGGTCCGTTGCCTTCATCAGACTGTGACCTTCAGCATGCACTGGGGCATTTTAAGGTTGAATGTGTGAAGTGGTTGGGATGAGAGTCAGCACCTCTAACCTGCACCTTCATTGTACCAGACTGTTGTGCAGAGGGAGCTGAGCCAAATATCTATGTTATAACCCTTACCTATGGTTATACATAAATGGCTGAAATGAGACACCTGGAGCTTGAAAGGAGCCAGTAGAAGTGGTTCGGGTATCTGATCAGGATGCCTCCTCAAAACTATATTTTGACACATGGCCCTTCTTCAATAGAGGCCCTTCAAAAAAGGTATTAATCATCACCTCAATGTTCTAGTCATTTTGATTTATATTGTGATTACAGGTACCGATTCCCAAACAAATTTGCAATTTGCCAAGTTACCACAAACCATCTGACATACAGCGAACCTGAGGCCCTCAAAGCTCTTCAAGGTCCAGGGCCCAATGTTTCCTGCTTTGTCTTGTGGGTAATGCAGCCTCGAGATCAGTTCTAGTATTTACTGCTGTCGCCAAGATTTGCACACGCAAGGGGCTTCATGATATCACTGCATTGGACTAGTTATTTTACAAGACTCAGCTGTCTCACTGGAGTGATAATAGATCAGGACTGTAACAATGTCTGGGAAGCTCCGTCATCAATGACCTCTTCTTGGGGAGGAGCTATGTATCTACTTTAGCCTCTTTGCTGTTTTTTGTGCCTCCACTCTTCTGTCTCTCTGCATTATTTGTATGAAAAGGTATACAAACAATCTTGAACTTGAACCAGTCAAACCTGACAAAGATAATATAAAGAAGGTACAAAGGGACCAAAATTGTCATCCTGATTGTTAATTAAAAAAACTATATTTAAACAAAAACAATATGAATTTAGTATAAATATATAGCCCTATAGTTACTACACTAATATAAAAACTAAATTGTGCAGATTTAGTAAAAGTATTCCAAGTGCTTGGAAGAGATTTGCACAAAATTCAGAATACTTTCCACCAACATGTTCTCGAGGGAAGAGTAATGAGTGGAGAGTAATGATTAGGTAATAATGAAGTAATGATTAATAATAGTGACTAAAAGTGACCTCTGCACATGATTCCGTGATTAGGAACATATTAAAATGGTTAGTAGATTAACAGACATCTGCTCAATCCCTGTGTCAGAGGTATTCAATAACTTATGCCACAGTAAGATGTTAAACCTATAAACCCCACCCAGTAACATAATAGATGGTTCTGTCAACTAGAACCCAGAGTACCACATGTTGCTCTATATACTCATATCATAATGAGAAATAGTAATCAAATTTACGCACAATGCGTGTCCTTGCTACTTTTCAAAATGTTACTATACAAATAAATACAAAGGCAATTAATATAATCATTACTGTATTAATAGTGTGTTCAGACCTTACATTTAGCATATGGTCGCCAAAGTTGAAATATCTTTCTTGGTAATGGCATTTCCTGTCAAATCCCTGTTAAAAGTGCCTTTTTATTCAAACACTTGTCCTTTACAGATAGGATCAGCTCGCTCTTGTTACTGCCATATTAAAACTTCATGTAAAAAAAACGCAACAAACAGCCAACTTCATTCCACTTAAACTCCTACACATTCAAACACTTGGGTTAGCAATGAAGCATGAACATGCGGCCCCATATTCGTACCCAGCACACAGGTGAATTAGACACAGTTTATTCAACCAACCTGTATTGGCTCCTGTCACTATAGCAGTCTTCCCCTGCAGACGCACCGTGCAGGCTCGTGGATCCCAGCGCCCTCTCCTCTGTAAGCGCACAACGATGGCCAGCAGCGCCGTGGAAACAGCCCACACCGGGTGACAAAGCATATCCAACCAACTCATTTCACTGTCGGGACTGAGCGCCTAACAAGAACTGGAAAGTGAATCTGGGAGCAGCTGGTCAGCATGCGCCGACTTCTTATTCTACTTGCAGTAGGTGTGCCTAAAAACCTCAGCAACAGTAAACCTGCTGGTAATTCATGAAGGCAGGGACACATTCCTATTTGGGTTGTCCTGTCAGTGAATTGTTTGAAATTGAAATAATTAACTTCCCGTCGTGAAAACATCTGGTTTTAATACATTGACTATGATCTATAAACCTCGGACGTCAGTGCAAGCGGAAAACACAGCTCATTGTGCTCAAATTGTTCTTGTCAGCAGGAACTGTTAACAAGTTAATGGTGAAACAGCTCCAAAACAAAACCCTATTCTAGTACAGTATAGTACAAAAATGTGCTGTGCAGTGTCCACACTGTAATTAATTTTCCTGTA